CAGCTGGAAAATTTACCATTGAAGAAAAAAATCTTAAAGATCATGAAGTTATTACTCTCATTAAAGTATTTATTATTATTCCATTTTATTACTAACAATTCATTACTATTTTTACAAAATGTCAAATTGTATTTTTTTAATGTAATTATATTAGATTTCAGTAACCAATTTGTCTGTAATTAAAATTGATCCAGACCATTTATTACCATTGGATATTATTGTTACATTAAATGGAACTGTGATGGAAAATCCATTTATTTCTGAGACAATAGTCAAATTCAAAATTAATTCATTGGTTTATATTGAAAAGAAAAAGAAAAAAGTGGATATTAATTTCAATGCATATCACAAAACAACTGAAAGACATCTCAAACCAATTTCAAAAAAATTAAATTGTGGTCACACTATTTTTCTATCTGGAAACCTAGAATTAGTGAACGGATTAAAAATGATACAACCAACATCACTATCTTTTGTTAATTCAAACAACTCTAATACCATGTTAGATAACCAAGTTTCAACAACATCTCTATAAAAATTAATCCTTCAGTTGCAAAAATTGCTCAACAAATTATGGATAATAGTAGTTCAACCAATGAAACCAAGAAAAGAAAAGAAACAAATACTTTAAATCAAGAAATATCAAAATTCCAAAATTAGCACAATTAGCAGTATCACAAATAACATCAAGTAAGGATAACAATTCGGCACTATGTGCCTCATCCCTCATCATAAAAGCCAAAATAAGCATTTCCAGTAAAAAATTGTAAGTCTAACAAAAAAAAATACGCTTTTAGTGATCCCATAACGATGGACTTTTGGTGACGCTGTTGGCTTCAATACTGGATAAATTTTTTATTACACTATTTTTTACTACCCGATCAACGTGGCTAGAAATTGAAAATGGGCCACGTTCGAAATTACGAATCGAGTCATATCTCGCCTTCAAGATAGCTTTTTCTAAAATTCCACATAAAGTTGATCGTGAACCATGGTTCACGATAGTCACGTTTGTTACATCTCGGGGCCTGAATGCGGGGTATGAATACATATTTTACCGTCCGATTAAACACCCGATTTAACACCAAATGACAACATAAATGCGACCAAAAATGCAAAATACACCTCACTCGAATGTGGCCGAAAATGCAAAATAAGTATGCTTATCTGGGTGGCCAAAAATTCAGAATGAGCCACATTGATATGTGGCCAATAGTTAGCATATGAAAAATGACCATATCGTTATCCCGATAATAGTTCGCGTGCGGCCAAAAAAGCGGATTAGGCCACATATGTAGGTATCAGTCTAATCATGAGTAGGTAACAGTTTAACGTAAGTAGATAATAGTATATTGATATATACTATTACCTACTTCTCTGACCTGAAATAAAAAAACTCATTGAGGAAAATTCAGTTGTATCTCATTCAGAATGGTCAAACCAGCATCAGGGATTAGATGCTACACTTGAAGAAATAAACAAGTCTCTTAAGGCAATTATTCTTCCCTTAATATGTAATAAATATAGCATTTAAAGTTTTAAGTTTACTCAATCCTCAAAGATGTTCCGTAATTCTTTATTTCTTTATTTAGAGTAATAAATATGGCTGCTCAGGAAAAATTAATAAATAATTTTTTTTTAATTGGTTTGTGATTAATTGAATTAACCAAAATTAATTGGTGATATTAATAGTCACATGATGTCATGAATGATTAAAATATCTTGAATTGGTTTTTTTTTTTTTTTTTTGATAAATAATGGCACAAAAATTATTTGACAATCCTGTTTTTATTGAAGTAATTTCCCAGACGCCTCCTATTTGTTATCAAGAAGGACTCAATTCTCTGAAAAAATTTAAAGAAAGTCAAGCTTACAGTATTTTAACAAAAAAACAAAAAGATGAATTAATTAGATTAAAACAGGCACTTTCATTTCAAAAAAATTGTTTAGATAAAAAAACAAATAATAAATTTGAAAATAATAAAATTAAAAATGATAAAAATAAAATTGTCAAGAAGAGAAAAAAAACTTTGTCAAAAGAGGAGGATAGTGGCAAGAAAAAGCTTGTAAAAAACTAATATTTTGTATATGAATGCAAGGTAAAAAAATAATATCTATTTTATCTAAATAATAATATTATTATAAATATTAAATTTTTAATAAAAAATTTTTTTTGAAAAAATAAATAGAATATATTACATTAAGAAAATCATTAAATAAAGACGAAAAATTGTTTTTTTATCTAGTTATTATTATATGGGAAATAACCAGACAAAGTGAACATAATGTCACAAAATAATTTTGGTGGTGAAAATTCTTCAGCACCACACTTGTAGTCTCTTTACTGTGTTTTATTTTCATTGCTTTTGGTTTCTCATTTTTAATCATACAAGATAATCAGAGTGATTAGTCCAAAGTACAGATTGGGTTATTATTGCCTAGTGTCTTTTTCTTTTGGATATGCTTTTAACTTATTGTATTCTTATATAGGGTATACTGCAGCAAAACCAAAGTGAGCATTTGTATTACCAAAACTTCAGGGACCAATAATGTTTGTCTAAACATCACAATTACAATTATACATGAAGCCCGAATTGGTTTTGGGATTTCAAAGGTCAAAATTATTCCAATTTCAATGGTCAAAAGTCAAAATTAATTATGACACTCAC